AAAAAAAAAAACAAAAAAAAAAAAAAACCGCTTACTAGACATGTCTAAATAGCTCGATCAACCTAGAGAAGAAGATGGAGGGAGTATTAGATGACAAAATTGAGAGAAAATGGAAATGACGAATACTGGATTGAGCAAAATTGAAGGAGATGAGTGCAGAGGCTAAATCTGCAATTTTTGTGCAGTTTTCCTCTGCACAACTTGAATCCAGATGATAAAGTTCACTTTTGGACAAATGATTTTGCACGACGAACAAGGTCTGCGTTGTGCAAATGTCTTTTGCACGACTAACACATCCTTCATCGCACAAATAACATTTGTGAGACAAAAAAAAAGTATTCGTTGCGCAAGTTTACCATTTTTTTATTTTATTTCCTTTACTTTATAATTTATTATTTTCAACAAATTGCGTGACGAAAACATGTATCATCGCACAATGCATATTTTAAAATTTTTTTTTGTTTTTCCGTTTTATTTGTATGTATTGTAAAATTTTATTTTATTATAAATAAAAAACTCAAGCCTAATTAAACATTAAATTAATTAACAAAACTAATTTACTATCCCAAATAAAAATAAAAATTAATGTAAATATTAATACTCATCCATATAACATAATTTATTAATTAAATTAAAAAATAAAGTCTACAAAATCTTATTTAAAAAAAGAAGAAGCAACCCTCCTCAACTTCAATCCTCCCTCACCCGCAACACATCAAACTTCCACCGTCGGAAACTCTACTTGAAAAGCCCATCCACATAAATTCGTTGCTTCTCATAGGTTTCATCAACATCCCAATGAACCTACATTAATGCCAATAACAATAAATTAATAATTTAAAAAATATTACGTTTTAACAAAATAATTGTTCATTATTTACTACAAACTTACCGATAATTCCCAAGATGGACTTCTTCAACTCCTCAGGGACCTTTTTCCAAGATTCAAACTCAGTAGAACAATCACTCCGCACCAAATTCCCAATGTCAAACACATATTCGGCATATGCCTCAGCCATATTTTTGCCTCCAAAGTACAACACTTGCTTCCGTCGATACCTCTCTAATCGCACTACAAGTTTCTTTTTGCCAGAACCTTCTCCAGAATTGACCATTCTTTTTGAAACAATTTTTTTTTAAAACTACGGTTCTGAAACTGTATTTATATAGCACTAGGGTTCGTCGCTCAAATCTCCATATTCGTCTCGCAAAACGCGTCATAAATGCTCAATAAATGGGAAGGTTTGAATGCAATCTTTTAGTGCTTTGCGCGACAAACATCTATTATTCATCGCGCAAAGTAATCTCATGCGACGAGCAAAGGGTCGTGCAATATGTTTAGTGACGAATGGAATGATTGTAATTATAAAGTTTACGTAAACATATAAATCTATGTTTACGTAAACTTTATAATTACAAACAAATATTCTATTAAATATTTATTCTAAAAATATTTGATAGCTTAAATATTTATTATAAAAATAATTAATACCTTAAATATTTATTCTAAAAATAATTAATACCTGAAATATTTATTCTATAAATAATTATACTTGAAATATTTATTCTATAAATAATTAATACCTGAAATATTTATTCTATAAATAATTAAAGAAGGAAGAGAATGAGAAGGATATTCTTGAGACGTTTAGGAAGGTGCAAGTGAATATTCCACTCCTTGATGCAATCAAACAAGTTCCGAGGTATGCTAAATTTTTGAAAGAACTTTGCACAACAAGGAAGAGGATTTCAAACAAAGAAGTTGTAAAGGTAAGTGAGAATGTTTCAGCTGTTTTGCAAAGAAAACTACCACCAAAATGCAAAGATCCAGGTAGTTTTACAATTCCTTGTGTTATTAGAAATACCAAGTTTGAGCATGCTATGTTAGATCTAGGTGCATCCATTAATGTCATGTCATACTCTATTTATGCATTTATGAACTTTGGAGAACTAAAAAATGATGGTGTTATAATTCAATTAGCCGATCGTTCTAATGCATATCCAAAAGGGGTTTTGGAAGATGTTTTGGTGCAAGTTAACGACTTAGTATTTCCAGTGGATTTCTATATGCTTAAGATGGAAGATTCGGCCCATTCTACACCCTTGCCGATCCTCCTTGGAAGACCTATCAAGAAAACAGCCCGCACCAAGATAGATGTGTTTAAGGGGACATTAACAATGGAATTTGATGGCGAGATCATTGATTTTAATATTTCTGAAACTATTAGGTATCCTAAAGATGATCATTGTTGTTTCTCTATTGGTGTATTTGATGCTTTGGCGCAAGATTACCTTGATTCCTTGAATGAGGATGCCCTTGAAACAACAATTGCACAAGGAATTGGACTAAAAAACGAAGGGGCAGATGTCAAACACCCTCATGACATGGATAGGGAAATCCTTTCCGTGCCCCCTAGTGAAGAAATAGGAGAGATGGTTGCTGCCCTTAAGTCAATGCCATAACATGTTGATAAGCCTTCAATTCCAATTCCAATTCCCGTTTCTACTAACAAGTTGTTACCTTCAGTGATTCAGGCACCCATCCTTGAACTTAAACCATTGCTAGATCATTTAAAGTATATCTTTTTGGGAGATAAAGAGACGCTGCCCGTCATTGTCTCTTCATCACTCACGGCAATGGAGGAGGAGAAACTAATTCGGGTGTTGAAAGAGCACAAAATAGCCATTGGATGGACCCTGGCTGACATTAAGGGAATTAGCCCTACAACTTGCATGCATCGCATACTTCTAGAGGAGGGGGCTAAACCAACTCGAGAGGCTCAACGTCGACTCAACCCTCCAATGATGGAAGTTGTGAAGAAAGAAATTATCAAGCTTCTTGATTGTTGAGTGAACTTGTGCCCATAGTGATGAAGAATGCAGAGAATGAACTTGTGCCCACTCGTATCCAAACTGGTTGGAGAGTTTGCATTAACTATAGGAAGCTCAACGCCACCACAAGGAAAGATCACTTCCCTTTGCCGTTCATTGATCAAATGCTTGAAAGGTTAGCTGGTCATTCTTTTTATTGCTTTCTTGATGGTTATTCGGGATATAATCAGATTGTTATAGCTTCAGATGATCAAGAAAAGACTACTTTTACTTGTCCATTTGGTACTTTTTCATATCGTCGAATGCCATTCGGTTTATGTAATGCACCAGCCACGTTCCAAATATGCATGGTAAGTATCTTTTCAGATTTTGTTGAGAAGATCATTGAAGTATTCATGGATGATTTTAGTATCTTTGGTGATTCGTTTGATGGTTGTCTAGATAATCTCACTTTAATCTTAAAACGGTGCATTGAAACTAACCTTGTTTTAAATTAGGAAAAATGTCACTTTATGGTTAAACAAGGCATAGTTTTTGGTCACATAGTTTCAGCAAAGGGAATAGAGGTTGATAAATCAAAAATAGATCTTGTACGCTATTTACCCTCTCATACTTCGGTGAGAGATGTTCGTTCTTTTCTTGGACATGCAAGATTTTATAGGCGATTCATCAAAGATTTTTCCAAGATTTCCCAACCCCTTTGCCGACTTCTGCAAAAGGATGTGACATTCAAGTTCGATGATGAGTGTGAGAAGGCGTTTAATCACCTTAAAGAGATGCTAACTTCAGCCCCTATCATAGTCCCACTAGATTGGAGCCTTCCTTTTGAGCTTATGTGCGATGCCTCAGATTATGCATTAGGGGCTGTTTTGGGACAAAGGAAGGACAAGAAGCCACACGTCATCTATTATGCATCCCGGACCTTGAATGATGCACAATTGAATTATTCCACCCCTGAAAAAGAACTTTTTGCTGTTGTATTTGCTTTAGATAAGTTTCGTTCTTATTTACTTGGAACTAAAGTTATAATTTACATTGATCATGCAGCTTTGAAGTATTTGCTCACGAAAAAAGAGGCTAAGCCAAGGCTTATTCGTTGGATGTTACTTCTCCAAGAGTTTGACGTGGAAATACGAGACAAGAAAGGGAGTGAAAACGTGGTGGTTGATCACTTGAGTCGTTTGGTGCATGATAAGGACCCATTACCTATTCCAGAAACATTCCCAGACGAGCAATTGCTATCCATTAAGGTAAGTGAGCCATGGTATGCTGATTTGGTGAATAACTTAGTGACTAAACAAGCTCCAAGCACCCTCAATAAGCACCAACGTGATAAACTTAAAAATGATGCACAGTTTTATGTGTGGGATGACCCATATTTGTGGAAATGTTACCCTGATCAGATTCTTCGTAGGTGTGTGCATGATTCTGAATTTCATTCGATTTTAACGTTTTGTCACACTTATGCATGTGGCGGTCACTTTGGTACACAACGCATAGCACTTAAGGTTTTTGAATGTGGATTTTATTAGCCTACTATCTTTAGAGATGCTAGAACCTTTTGCATAACCTGTGATCATTGTCAAAGAACGGGTAATATAAGTGCAAAAGACCAAATGCCGCAGCATCCTATATATTCTGTTGAGATTTTTTATGTTTAGGGCATAGATTTCATGGGTCATTTTCCTTTTTCACATGGTTTCCTTTATATATTACTTGCTGTGGATTATGTGTCGAAATGGGTGGAAGCAAAAGCCACCCGTACTAATGATTCTAAAGTGGTTGCAGATTTTATTAAAACTAACATATTTGCAAGGTTTGGAATGCCAAGAGTACTTATAAGTGACGGAGGTTCCCAATTTTGCAATCGAACCATTGAGGCGCTGCTCAAGAAGTACAACGTTACGCATAAGGTCTCCACACCTTATCATCCTCAAACAAGTGGGCAAGACGAGGTGTCGAATGGGGAAATCAAGCAGATTTTGGAGAAGACGGTTGGACCAACTAGGAAAGATTGGAGCTTGCGTTTGGATGATGCATTGTGGGCATATCGTACGGCCAATAAAACACCAATTGGGATGTCCCCATTTCGGCTTATCTATGGGAAACCATGTCATCTTCCGGTTGAGTTAGAGCATCGTGCACATTGGGCCGTCAAAACATTCAATATGGACATTGAAGCCGCTGGAATCCAAAGGAAATTGCAATGGAATGAGCTTGAGGAGATTAGGAATGAAGCTTATGACAACGCTCACATCTACAAGGAGAAAACCAAGGCGGCCCATGACAAGATGATTCGTGGCAAGACATTCTCTATAGGGCAGAAAGTGTTACTCTTCAACTCCCACCTTCGTTTGTTTCCGGGTAAGTTGTGTTCTAAATGGATTGGACCTTTTGTTGTTACTAATGTTTTTCCTTATGGTGCAGTCCAAATCCAAAGTTTGAACACGGGACATGAATTCAAGGTCCATGGACACCATTTGAAGCCCTACTACGAGACTTTTGAGGAGCATGTCGTGGAGGATGTACACCATCATGCCGTTGGCCCTATTGAAGCTTGAATTGAGGTATCGTTCGGCTGGAAGACGTTAAAGAAAGCACTTCTTGGGAGGCAACCCATGTGTCCAAACGAGGGCGTGATGGAATTCTAACTCCATAACCATATTTGCATTCTTAAACTCTACTCTTTATTGCTTTTACTTTGCCATGTTTGTTATGTTTCTTAGTTGTGTCGTTTGCTTGTTTATGTGTGAGTCTATGTTTGAAACATTGAGGACAATGTTTGGTTTAACTATGGGGGGGGGTAAACAAGTGTTTTTATGCAAAATTCGTGGGTTTTTTTATCACCTAGCACTACTAGAGTTGTTTTTCATTGTTTTTAAGTGTTTTTAGTGTGTTTTGAAGTGTTTTAGTGTGTCTTGAAAGAAAAATAAGAAAAATTTGAAAAAAAATAGAAAATGTTTTGAAAAACCCAAAAAGAGTCGTTTTAAAGTCGTTTTTGTGTGTTTGTGTCTTAGGGTACCTTCCAACACAATGATGAGGATTTGGTTTTTAATTACATGACTGTTAAAGAAAGTTACAAACATGGATGGAAGTTTGATATGCTCTTTGGTTTATGATTGGTTGTATTTGTCGTTTACGAATTCACATGTAATCACAAAGGAGAAAATCAGTTTTTGTAACATGCTTGAAGGAAGGAATTCAAACTAACGCTACAACCCTGAGAGACTTGAGCCTAAACTTTATTTGGAGAGTTATTAATCTATGATTTGTTGTTTTCTAAAGTCTTTGCATGATCTCATTATTCTTTGCTTGGTTGCTACTTAGAATGCGTTTTATCACTTTAGTTCCAAATACTAGAACTCATGCCCATTTCATTCAAAGCTTAAAATTGAGTGCATAACATATAACAAGATGAAGTTGTTTGGTAGTTACCACCAGAGCCAAAAAGCCTTCATCCCATGCATTTGTTTTGTAGGTTTAACCCCTTTGAGCCTTATTTAGCCTATTTTCTTTGTTAGCCACATTATCCTTACCTAGCCTAGAATAGGACTATCCATACCCTTGTTCTTAAAGTATAGTGGAGCATGACTTAGATGGAATTCCTTTTGATTAAACATATTGCAGAAATCAAGTGTGGGGGAAGGATATGTACACGGGTAGAAAAGAAAAAAGAAAAGAAAAAAAAAAGTTGTGAAATAAGTGAGAAAGAACTCACAAGTATTGGTTGTTGAAGAAAGGGTCCAAAAATTTTGAATATGACCCTAAGTATGTACGAAATCCCCTTAGTGTTTCAAGTTATTTGCTGCATTCAAGAGTGAATTATAAGTTGATTTCATTGCTTTGCTTACTATTGCTTTAAGAACCTTTGTTTATCTTAACCTTTCTTTGTTAGCCAATACCCTTAGCCCTATTACAACCCTTAGACTTCTATCTTGGTTGTTGTGTGTTTCAATCTGTGGAGTTTAGGATTGGTATGAGCATATGGTATCCCTGGTTCTTGCGTCTAAGTAGTGGCATTCCGTTCATGAGATCATATATATATACATGCATTAATAATTCCAGAAAGTTCTTTCTTTGCTTAAAACATATGTGAGTGGCTAGTCTACATGTT